TTTTGGGTTCTTTAAAAGAAGATTTTTTAAGTTTTTACTATATGCATATAGGGAAAATCTATGACCCCCTGGGACGGGGCAATTTTGACCCAAGGGCTTTTTATTTGAACAAACTTGGTAGACATTCACTAGAAGATGTTTCATGTCAAATATCTAAGCTCTAGCTCTTACGGTTCTTTAAAAGAAGATTTTTTAAGTTTTTACTATATGCATATAGGGAAAATCAATGACCCCCCGGGGCGGGGCCAATTTTGACCCCAGGGCTTTTATTTGAACAAACTTGGTAGACACTCACTAGAAGATATTTCATGTCAAATATCTTAGCTCTAGCTCTTTGGGTTCTTTAACAGAAGATTTTTCAAGTTTTTACTATATGCATATAGGTAAAATCTATGACCCCCTGGGGCAGGGCCAATTTTGACCTCAGGGCTTTTATTTGAACAAACTTGGTAGACACTCATTAGAAGATGTTTCATGCCAAATATCTTAGCTCTAGCTCTTTGGGTTCTTTAAAAGAAGATTTTTTAAGTTTTTACTATATGCATATAGGGAAAATCAATGACCCCCTGGGGTGGGGCCAATTTTGACCCCAGGGCTTTTATTTGAACAAACTTGGTAGACATTCACTAGAAGATGTTTCATGCCAAATATCTAAGCTCTAGCTTTTACAGTTCTTTAAAAGAAGATTTTTTAAGTTTTTACTATATGCATATAGGGAAAATCAATGACCCCCCCCGGGCCAAGGCCAATTTTGACCCCAGGGCTTTTATTTGAACAAACTTGGTAGACACTCATTAGAAGATGTTTCATGCCAAATATCTAAGCTCTAGCTCTTACGGTTCTTTAAAAGAAGATATTTATAGATTTTTCTTTCGGTTGCCATGGCAACCAGAGTTCTGCATGAAATGGAATTCTTTGAACAATCTTGATAGAGCTTCATACAAAGAGTATTCCTGCCAAGTTTCATTAACATTGGCCTTGCGGTATCATAGAAGATGTCCTTAGAATATTTAAAATGTGGACGGACGACGGACGCCATTTGGTTGGCCATCCTAAAAGCTCACCTGCACTTTGTGCAAGGTGAGCTAAAAATTTATGGAAAAAGTAATATGACAAAGTTAAATACTACTATAATTTTATCTTAATTTTCTATGATACCATTAATATTGAAATACTGAACTCTTATATCAGCTGGTGCAGAAGTGTGCATGGATCCACACAATCATACTGAGTCTTTATTATTATTTTTGCAATTTTGGGTAACTTTTCTGTGCATTTATCTATTATTTTTTTATTTTACAATCTTGTTATGTAACTTGTCATATATGATGATGATGATGATGAAGTTCAAATACTTAAATTCTTAAAGTGACACACATAAGTTATTCAAAAGATAAGTGGTGGTGGTGTTGGTAGTTTACCATTCAGATCATGACAGTAAGCCACTATGAATTCACCAGAGCACAGTTCAACCACCACATTGTTCCTGGGCAGACTGTCAAGCAGTTTACCAGTACTACCCTTGCGCTTTTGCAAGGAACTGGTGATAACTTCTGTACATGCCAGAGCAGAGGTACAATACAAATTACTGTAGTAAGAATTTCATAATTAATCACAACGAAAGTGACCTGCACAATCCAGGAATCAAACCCAGGTTATCTCATTCACGATCCAATCAATGCTCTACCTATAATAATTGAGCTAATAGGACAGTTATATAAAAGATAAAATGGAAATTGCAAAATATTTATGATAATAAGTATACAATTTAGCTTTTCAGCATGGTATAATTATGACAATAAAAATTTGCTTTTTACTATGGTAAATCTACAGAATATACTTACCTTATCGACATGCATTTTTATAAGAATGCCGTTATAATTACAGAACTTACCATCAAAAGTAATGAATTGGTTGACATGGAAACAGTGTATGGTTGCATTTTACCTAAACTTGTGAACATCTCACATGACACAAGCTGGTTCATATCACTGAAATTATAAACAATGTTTTACAAATATTACACAAATATTACACAAATGTTACACAAATATTACACAAATGTTAAATAAATGTTATACAAATATTACACAAATGTTATTTAAATATACAATATAAAGAATTAAACACTCTTGCAAACAAGCATTTGATAGTATTGCGGGCAATACAGTAGTCCCCTACCGGTCCCTCAAAAAGTTCTTTAATTGTCATACACTCCTGTGTATTGCCATTTATAATGAATTTGAGGATGAAGTCTGTATTTGAAAATATCAACCACAAAACATAATAAAATAAGTTTGTCTATATCACAGTAATGTGTTAAGTTTCCATGCTTAGTAAGGAAATTATGTTTATACAACCTTGTCATATTATTACGATGTGGGATTTTAAAGTAAATCCTATAAGGAATGAAGAAGTTGGAGTGAAAATACCAGTTTCTCGAAAAAAATCTAAGTTCTAATAGTCTTGCTAGAGTATTTAACCTTCTCAAAAATGTCGAGTGATAATAAGAAACATATATATGAAGTTTGAAGTAGATACATTAGGAAATAAAGAAGTTATTTAAAAAAGACAACATTTTTTCCCCTAAAAAATCTAAGTTCAAGGGAGGTAATACTGATATTTTTTGTGCTAGAGTTATAAACCTTGTCACATATGATGTGGTTGATGACCAGAAACTTATATTTAAAGTTTGAAGTAAACACCTCAAGAAATAAAGAACATATAGTGAAAAAGCTGAAAAATTTAAATCAGAAATCTTGAAATTCAGGCTATTTGTTGCCATAGCTACCAGAATTTTCAACATAGGAAGAAAAGAAAAAGATGTGCATAATCTCCAGACTGCCATCTACCCATATTTCAAGTTTCATAAAAATATTTTCAGTACTTTTTGAGTTATCACTGGATCCAGTTTATGTGTTAAATTTGCCATATTTTCAGACTATTTGTTGCCATAGCAACCAGAATTTTCAACATAGGAAGAAAAAAAAAAAACGTGCATAATCTCCATACTGCCATCTATCCATATATCAAGTTTCATAAAAATATTTTCAGTACTTTTTGCGTTATCGCAGGATCCAGTTTTGTGGACGGACGGACTGACGGACTGACAGACAGACAGACAGACAGACGGACAGACAGACAGACAGACAGACGGACAGACAGACGGACGGAGGGTAAACCTAAAGTCCCCTCCGGTTAAACCGGTAGGGGACTAACAACAAAATGCCCTGATAATGCGTTAATTGCCCAGTATTATCTACAGTTTATATAGGAAGATGTTGCTATGAAATATGTTAACCAATTAAGTATTTCGTTTTTCTATTTATATATACATTGTTAATGTGAACTTTCAGTGTAACTACATTGTTTTGTAGACAATAACTTCTTAAAAAGTTATTTTATACATCAGCATCTTTCATTTAATTCTTAACCTGGTGGAACCAAAGTCATTGCCTTTGTCACCAATATACATGTAGACCAAGGCCTGCTGTGCAGTGTGACCAGGTTCTATACTGTTGGTAGCATGATTTTTGTATTTTGATACAGACCCCCCTTAAACTTTGAACAGATTGTTCCAAATTCAATGCAGGGCATATCAAATCCCTTTACACAAGATCAGCAGGTTAAGGGTCAACAAGAATTTGTAACAGAGTTACCAACGTCCCCCGCCTCTGGGAAGTTTTATATGAAGCATAAAATTGTGCTATTCCAAAAGATTGAGGTATGGATCTAAGGAATTTCAGTCCAAAATTATGATCAAATACTAGATCTGCAAATGCAACAATAAATCTATTAAAGAAATCTCTAAGTGTGACCTTGACCTTGGAGGTAGGGGTCAAGGTGTTGTGAATGACATATCGTCTTATTATTGTAACTATTTGTACTAAGTATTTTCAAAATCCCTTGAACTATGAAGAAGTTATAGATGGGACACAAAATATACCCTCTAACAGACTATGTTATTCTTTGACCTCTTAGTGTGACCTCGGAGGTAGGATCCCATGATTTGGACCTGACATATCATCTTATCATTGTGATTATTTGTGCAAAGTATTTTTAAAATCCCTTGATCTATGAAAAATTTATAGACTGGACACAAAATATACCCTATAACAGACTATGTAAATCTTTGACTCTACATGTGACCTTGACATTGGAGGTAGGGACACTGGTGTTACACATGACATATCATCTTATCATTGTGACTATTAATTCCAAGTATATTCAAAATCCCTTAATCTTTGAAGAAGTTATGGACAGGACACAAAGTATATCATATGACAGACTCTGTTAACTTTTGACCTCTAAGTGTGACCTTGACCATGGAGGTAGGGGTGCAGGTGTTGTACTTGACATATCTTCTTATTATTGTGACTATTTGTTCCAAGTTATTTCAAAATCCCTTGAACTATGAGGAAGTTCTAGATCGGACACAATATATACCCTTTAACAGACAATGTTAATTTTTGACCTCCAAGTGTGACTTTGACCTTGGAGGTAGGTGACCCATTGTTACGCATGACACATCATCTCATTGTAAACAATTGAGCAAGTGCGACCTTGACCTTGGAGGTAGGGGACTGATTGTTGCGCATGACACATCGTCTTATTATAACAAACATTTGTTCCAAGTTATTTCAAATTCCTTTGATAAATGACAAACTTATGGACCGGACATGAAATATACTCTATAACAGACTATGTTAATATTTGACCTCCAAGAGTGACCTTGACCTTGGAGGTAGGTGACCGGTTGTTGTGCATGACACATCTTCTCATTATTGTGAGCAATTGTGGCAAGTATTTACAAAATCCCTTTAAAGATAAGAAAGTTATGGACCGGACACGACATATACCCTCAAATAGACAATGTTGACCTTGAATGAGCAAGTGCGATCTTGACCTTTGAGGTAGACGCATGACACATCGTCTTATTATAACAAACATTTGTGCCAAATTATTTCAAATTCCTTTGATAAATGACAAAGTTATGGACCGGACACGAAAGTGTGACGGATGGACGGACGTCCAGCCGAAATGGAATTAGGGGCCGTTTCTTTTGTTATTTTCTATTGTTTAATAGAGGGCCAATGGCCCCTTACTCTATTGTTACGGAATGAATTCTATTGTTCTCCTTTGTTCTGTTTACAGTTAGATGGCCCCCTATCCCTATTCGGTAGTGCGGACAGACAAACGGACGGACAGACGGAGCCTATTTCTATATCCCCCTTTTTTCTTCGAAAAGGCAGGGGACAACAATCTAGTATTGTTATCTGATTATAAAATATCTGATACAACACCGATTCATAAAATATCAAGTCACAAAAGAAGTTACACTTACTTATGAAATTCCAAGTCAAATAAGGACATGACATTAAAATGAATGAAGGAGATGACGGAAATGATGACTACTAACAAAACAAGAACTGTCAGAGGACAGTAACGCTCGACTATTCGAAAAGTTGTCACAAGGGTGTTTCATTGAGTATAATAATGCTTACCTATATGAATACATAAAATTGTCCGAAAAGGTACAAACCCTTCAGTAGTTATGGAGATGCCAGCTTACAAGCAAAAATTTACCTAGAATTTCTAAGTCGAAAAAGGGGCATAATTATGCAAAAAAGCAAATCAGAGTTATGGGACTTGTGCCAATCATCTTAGATAATCACAGAGAACAAGTGTGTGAAGTTTCAATCCATTCCCTTCAGTAGTTATGGAGATACCAGCTTACACGCAAAAACTTAACCAAGAATTTCTAAGTCGAAAAAGGGGCATAATTATGTAAAAAAGCAAATCAGAGTTATGGGACTTGTGCCAATCATCTTAGATAATCACAGAGAACAAGTGTGTGAAGTTTCAATCCATTCCCTTCAGTAGTTATGGAGATACCAGCTTACATGCAAAAACTTAACCACAGGGACGCCGACGCCGACAAATGGGTGACTGCATTAGCTCGATTATTCTGCGAATAGTCAAGCTAAAAATATGTCAAATAAGGAAATGATGCCTACTACCAAAAATGTTATGTCAAATAAGGAAGTAATGGCTATTGACAAAATTGTATGTCAACTAAGGAAATGGCACCAATTATTATTCTTATATACAGAAAATGACACCATTTATAATATTTTATAAATAATCAAAAATATGAAATAAGTAAATAACATACACAACATTAGATCTATCTGGTAATGTGCTGTGTTTGACAGGTGTCTTATCATTTTTGGTCATTTCTGGACTTTCTGTCAGTTTCTCTACCTTGACTTCATTTTTAACAGGTTTCTTTGTTGGGGTTGCTTTCAATGACAAATTTAATGCTGAAATATTCAAATTGAAAAACATAATTTATCAGTTCCAAACTGAATGCCAGTAGCTTATGCTAAACCTGAAAATAAACAAGCGCCATCTCATAGCAGGGAGCCACACTCAACTTTTTCATAATTTCTATAGTCAAAAACATCTGAAGGGAGAATATTGTAGTAAAGAGCACTTGTAAAAAAATTAATTTTCTTGTAAAAAAATAATTCATATTTCATATTTGATCTTGATCTTTCAATGTTTTGATTTTTTTAATATAACATAAAAAACGGGAAAAATTCTTTAATTTTCCCTACATTATGTCTACTAGTAATTGTATTTCCCTTTAAATAAATTACAATGTTTTTTTTCAGATTTAATTTTAAATACAATTGTGGAATGATAAAAAAAAAATTTATTTTTTTCATTGGTTTTTAAATTAAAATTTATGATTTTTCGGCCCAACTGGGGGACAGCGCAGCTGTTTTTCCCGGCTGTCCAAAAGGGCGAAATCATGCGAAAAGACGGGTTTCAATTAAAAAAGGGTGTATGTACAGGGGTTTTTGACCATTCGGGGGGTAAAATGGGGTTCACTAAAATACAGACGAAATTATAAAACGATAAAAATGGAAGATAATTGAGAACGTGTTTTAAAGATCCAGAGAAATTTTAACTTTTAAAGAGAACAGTATTCGCTTTCCCCAAATTAAAGAACCCAAAATTTAAGTATTTCACCAGAAGTTAGAAGGAACTCGCCAAGCAGGCCAAGTGAGTTTCAATCAAGAGATAGTAGAGAAGGACAGGAGCGTTCCAGAGATAGACGAGGTAAGTCCCCGGGGGAAGGGAACAAAGTTTTTCAAGCCTTTGATTTATTTAGAAGTTATTTTGATTCTCGTTTGTCTGACTTGAAGAGTGATATAACTTCTCAAAGTTTGAAGTCTAAAGTTAAAAAAGTAACTTTGAATAAAGAGCCGCATAGAATTCAACATGAATTCAACCTTGAAATTCTTGACGGTTTGGAGTCAATTTTGAAGGAGTTGTCTAAATTAGATTTGAAGGCTGATGTTAAAGGTTTGATAAGTAAGATTAAACACAGGAATAAATTGATACAAATAGCAGATAGTTCCCCCGGGGGCTGGTCTACAGTCCGAGAATATGAGAAGCCTTCTCTCGCTAGCGATAGCGATGATGAACGGAAACTCAGACAAGCTGAATCTAGAGCCATTAAAAAGGTTCAGACAACTTCTTCAAAACAAGCTCGTTTTCATCCTTATAAGAGTGATTCTCTTTCTTTCATGGGTTACAAATCAACCACACCAAGGGCAGATGATTCAAGATATTGGTTACCACCACGTCCCAACTTCAACTTTTTCGTGGCCAAAGATGAGCAACACCAAATGACGTCTGCTACGCATGTGGGTACAGAGGGCACTTCCGGCATCAATGCAACCGTTTCTTGTCTGGAAACAGGGCACCGACGGAATCGACATACGTAAGACAACCGGAACCAGTACAAGTACAGCCACCAGTTAATGATAAGTATTTAGATATGTATCTATGTTCAAAAGAATTTTTTGAGATGCAGGAGTTAGATTTTGAAAAAAGCTAGGTTTTAAATGGAAATGTAAAGGGTCGTCTCAAGAAAAATGTATCATTTTGGGAAAAAATTGGAGGTAATGAATATATTTTAGATGGATACAAATTACCTTTATTTTCTGTACCTCAAAGGTCAATTTCTAAAAATAACAAGTCTGCATTAGATAATATGGATTTCGTAGAAAAAGCTGTTTCAGAACTTTTAAAGAATCATTGTGTTGTTGAGGTTCCATTTACATCACATATTATCAAACCCTTGGATGTTTCCATCAACAATTTAGGAAAAAAGAGATTGATTTTAGATTTGAGGAAAGTTAATGCACATATTTGGAAAGAAAAAATATCTTTTGAGGACTGGAAAGTTGGACTTGAGTATTTTACACATGATGGGTATATGTTTAAGTTTGATTTAAGTAAGGGCTACCATCATTTAGACATTTTTCCAAGCCATCAAACGTTTTTTAGGTTTTTCAGTAAAGGGGAAAAACTACTGTTTTTACCTTTTGGCATCAGTAGCGCCCCTTACATTTTTACAAAAGTGTTGAGGGAAATGGTTAAATAATGGAGATTGAACGGAATAAAAATTGTAATGTTTTTAGATGATGGTTGGGGTAGCAACAAAACTTTTTGAACAGACTGAAGCCGATTCTTATTTTGTAAAGAACAGTCTTGAGATGGCAGTTTTTTAATTAATAAAGAAAAATCAATATGGTTCCCAGTTCAAGAATTGGAGTGGATTGGTATTTTCTGGAAGAGTGAAAAATTTTGTATATCCATTCCTCAAAGAAGAATTAATGATTTTAACATAACTCTCAAGTTATTGTTGGGTTCTCTCCCTTATGTCTCTGCTAGACATTTAGCGAAATTTACAGGAAAAGTCATTTCTATGATGCCTGTAATTGGGAATATAGCAAGTCTGATGACTCGGTATTTGTATAAAGAGATAGAGACTAGTAAGTCGTGGGATTTTTGTTATAAATTGCCATTAAATCATCCTTGCCTTACTGAAGTAAATTTTTGGGTTGAAAATTTGGAGAAGTTAAATGTCAGAAAATTGTCGGCTTACAATCAGGTACAGACTTTGGTATATTCTGATGCAAGTCATCTGTCATGTGGTTCTTATATCTTTGACTGCAAAAACAGTGTGTTCCATAGCATTTGGAATAATGAAGAACAGGCTAAGAGTTCAACTTTTAGAGAATTAAGAGCAGTTTATCTTGCTTTACGAGCTTATTGAAGTTTGTTAGAAAATTCTAAAGTAAAGTGGTTTTCTGATTCTCAGTCATGTGTGAAAACTGTTCAGTCGGGTAGCACGAAATTAGATTTGCAACTTGAGTTGCTTAATATCTTTAAATTATGTTTAAAATGGAACATAGATTTAAGCATTCAGTGGGTACCACGTGAGCATAATCAGATAGCAGACGACATAAGTAAAATATATAGTTCAGATGAGTGGGAGGTTACTACCGAATTTTTCAATTTTATTGATCAAATGTGGGGTCCTCATGAAGTAGATAGGTTTGCCAGCTTCAAAAATCGCAAATTAAATCGGTTTAACTCTTTGTTTTATGAATATACATATTTTTTTTGTGTAAGTCTGAGGCAATCAATGCTTTTACACAGTCTTGGTCAGACTGCAATAATTGGCTTGTGCCACCTATATATCTTGTTTCTAGAACCATATTCACCTTTTAGCATGTAAAGGGAAAGGCACTCTGATAGTTCCTAAATGGCCCAGTTCGTCATTTTGGCCAATTTTGTTTAAAAACAATGGCGTCAAGCAAGATTTTATCAAAGATATTCTAGAGTTTAAAGCAGGTCAAAATATTTTCATGAACAAAAATTGCATTAACTGTATTTTTGATTCCAGAAGATTTAATAGTAAAGTTTTAGCTATTCGCTTAGAATAAGAAAACACGAGGTTTTGTTAGTTGTTAATCTATTTGTAAGTTAAACTGAATAAATCTATTTTGAACGAAGTTTTATTTTTGTAATAAGTATTTCAGATTAACAGCATTACATTTTTTCTCGTTTACTTATTATCATGTCCCCCTCCCTTAATACATGCATATATATATATTGGTGTACATTGGCGTACATAAGTTCTGTAAATTCTGAAAGTGACGAAATTAAACGAAGTGTGTCTTTAAATCTGGCTATTTAGATCAATTATTCATCGACTTATGAAACATATCCCGCTCCTTTTCTGTCGATAAATTAAAGTGAACCTGTAGTAGCCACTCCTACATTGTCTTTCTTATTTATATTTTATCCATGTAGGATATTAATTATGGAGTTAAGTGATAAATTATTTATATTTGGCTGAATGAAATGAAGGAAAACATAAGGAAGTAAATATCAAATTCCACAGATCCAACAGGGCGCAAAATATTTACATTAGTTGGAGTGAAACATTATGCATGATTTCAAACCTGTGTAACAATTTCTAGGATTAAACAAGGTAAATATCTTTTATTTCTATCTAAATATTAAATAATTAGTATGAATACTCTTAACATACTCTGGTAAAAAATAATGTAGGCGTATTTTTGTTTCTACAACAGGTAAAAGGTTTTTATCAAAGTTTAATTTTTCCTTAAATGTCAGTAACATAAAAGGAGCCTTTTATGCCTTTAATTTAATAGATAGGGCTTATGGCAGGGCATTTTTCACAGGTAAAGGAAGGGGCCTAATTCAGTTGGTGACCTGGATTATTGATAACTTTTGCATAGTTAAATACAAAACTGAACACATTTATGTGTAATTTACCTGTGCACTCATCATTAACACATTGATAGGCATTATTAAATAAAAATAAACAAGAAACATGGCAATGCCACAAAACCAGGTTTTCAATAATCACCATTGTAGAAAGTTCTGAAGTTAAGTTATAAGTTGAAATTTGGAGGGGGGCATGTAATAAAAATATCTCATTCCTAAATTTAGTTATTGACCGGAAACCGATTTTCTATATTTAGTACTTCGCATAAGCTTAATTTAAAATAAATTTCATTAAAACGTCTTATTCCAAACTCTAGTTATTGACCAGAAATTGATTTTCTATACATGTATTTATTAACAATAACCTTGACCTCGATCCTATGAAACACAAAAGCAATCCAAAGGAGATCTTCACAAAAGTTTACTATACACCAAGTTTCACTGAAATATCTCTTTCCAAACTCTAGTTTTTGACCTGAAAATGATTTATTTTCTATTTTTAATAACTGACCTTGACCTTAAGGGCCCAAAAGCAAAATTAAGCTAGATCTTCATAAAGCTAACTATGAACCATGTTGCATTGAAATATCTCAATCCAAAATTTAGACATTGACCGGTAACTGATTTTCTATTTTCAGTAACAGTGACCTTGATCCTATGGGGCTCAAAAGCCATCCCAAGCGAGGCGTTCATAAAAGCTTGC